TGTTCTTTGGATGACCACATTGACATCCTTGCTTCCCTTTAAGAAGAGTAGGGTATCATGCCCATCTTTACACCTAGATATTTGTCGTCCTAATGGCCATCCTGTTGTCCTTAATTCCTTATGAAGACCAGTTTGTCGTGAGTGAATGTTGGCAGTGTCTCCAAAAATGTCCTTCCAATGACCATACTGTTGTCCTCAGTTTCCTTTTCAAAGTCATGTAAGAACTGTGACATGCTCGCAATGTGTCTGCGCACAAGGACATCTTCAAACTCTGGCCATACTGATGGCCACACTGTTATCATCTCTTCCATTTGGAAGATTAGTGCACTGTGGTGGAAATACTGGAATACTGGCAGTGTTTCAACTTAATGTCGTCATATCTGAAAATTAGTTCTCCAGACAGCGACTTTCCCATCCCGGCTCCCCGCCCCTGTGAGGACGTAGCGAGACTCAGCGTGAGTCATGGAGCGAATGGCATCATCGTGAGCTGTGAGGGCTTTCTCGTACTTTCCTGTTTCAAGATCAAAGAGGTGAATCTTGCCATCTTTGCTTGCTGCCCACAACTTGGAAGAAAAAATGCAAATATCAAAAATTTAAATCTTTAAAACCTACACCTTCAAGCACTGCAAGAGTAGATGATAGGTTTAATGAATGTACTCTAAAGTAACCACCAACATGGCCTGACAGGGCAGACTGAATATAACTATGTGTTATTATCAAGAAACAAGGAAAAGGGAGATCTGAAACGAGTGTTCCTGAGCAAGGCATTTGGCCTTAATATTGAAAGGACACTAAATGTAGAAGAAATATGGAGTTGTCCTTTCTCATTGTTAAAACCAAAAAATGCAAGCTGAGAATTTCCAGGGGAACTGCATAATTATAATTCTTCAAGAACATAAATCAGACAAAAGCAGGATTTTACTTTGGTAAATGCTGGTGACATCGATGGCCACTACTAAGGTTGGAAACTTTGGCACTAGTCTTCAGAAAAATCTGGCAAATAGGGTCTGTCATACAGACGTATCTGAATGTACAGTGTACTGTTGTTAACTTACCCTTTTATTCACGGCTACCAACTTGCTGACCCCTCGACATTCCAGCTTCAGCACCTTTTGCTTCTTGAACGAAGTCTTGTCCCAGCTAACCAGCTCTCCTCTCCTTCCGCAACCTGCCCACAACTACATCAACACAAGAGTAAGGAAATACTCACTAGTCAAGCTCTGAGAGGTTGAAATGGGTGCCAGTTTAGTTAGCGCTGCTTCACAAGG